AAACATCAACTCCATTAAAACTGTTTCACTAAACAATTTAGGCTGATGCATTTTATAACATCATAGCATGTGTTGGTTTATTTAATGTTGCATTTTGTATGGGGCACCTAGTGAGGACCAAACACACCATTCAGTAGTAATGGTCAACCAAACAAGCCTTGATAACCATTTCGATTGCTGGTTGGTTGACTTTTGGGTTATCTAATGTTGAATTTTGTATGAGGCACCTAGTGAGGACCGAACACACTATTCAATAGAAAAGGTCAACCAGACAAACCTTACTAACCAATACTCAACACTGATTGCTGGTAGGTTGATTTTAAATATGAGTTATATAATGTTGAATTTTGTATGTGGCACCCAGTGAGGATCAAACTCCATACTCAGTAGCAATGGTACACCAGATGAGCCTTGCCAACCATTACCCCATGCTGATTATTAGTTGATTTTATGACATATGAACACTTGTCAGGTTATTTAATGTTGAATTTTGTATGAGGGCGCCTAATGAGGATTGAACTCACGACTCAATAGTATTTGTCAACTAGGTGAGTTTTGTTACCGTATATGCAGTTTGCTAGGGCGCCTAGTGAGGATTGAACTCACAAATCAATAGTATTTGTCAACTAGGTGAGTTTTGTACCGTATATGCAGTTTGCTAGTTGACTGATTTTATGACATGTTAACCCTTGTTTGGGTTATTTAATGTTGAATTTTGTATGGGGCACCTAGTGAGTACCAAACACACTAATTAGTGTTTGTCAACCAGATGAGCCTCAAACATCATTAACCCATATACGAATATTTATATCTGCCTCATATACACAAAGGCCGGTCTGAAATGAAAATGATGTCTGCTGCTAGGAAAGTTGTTTCCCTGTATCGTGCTAGACAATGTTTCTCACCAGAATCTATGTTACAATTCTATAAGTCTACTATTTGTTCATGCTTTGAATATTGCTGCTACATTTGATATGGTGCTCCTGTTATATATTTAGAGATTCTTGCTAAAAACCAAAGCTCCAGTCACTTTCCCACCACGTAGCTTCTCTGTGCCTTTTCTATAAATTCACTCATGGTAAATGTTCTGATGAATTTTCCTCTATAGCAGTGATTCTCAACTAGTGTGCCACACAATTCTCTTAACTATGCCATGAAATATTGCCATTTGTAGTACTCGAGGGCTCAAAATAAAACATTCGGCAGTACCCATGGAGATATTTTGGATTTCTATACAAAAGGAATATCCCAAATTAGCTAAAAAGGCTTTACAGTGTAACCCGGATATAAGAGAGTTGTCAGGACCGGAGAAGAAGTCTCTTATATCCGGGTTTCTCTTATATCCGGGTTTGGTCTATTTTGTTTACGTAAGTATGTGAACACTTTGGGACCAGAGAAAATCTCTTATATCCGGGTTTCTCTTATATCCAGGTTTGGTCTATTTTGTTTACGTAAGTATGTGAACACTTTGGGACCAGAGAAAATCTCTCTTATATCCGGGTTTCTCTTATATCCAGATTTGGTCTATTTTGTTTACGTAAGTATGTGAACACTTTGGGACCAGAGAAAATCTCTCTTATATCCGGGTTTCTCTTATATCCAGATTTGGTCTATTTTGTTTCGTAAGTATTGAACACTTTGGGACCAGAGAAAATCTCTTATATCCGGGTTTCTCTTATATCCAGATTTGGTCTATTTTGTTTACGTAAGTATGTGAACACTTTGGGACCAGAGAAAATCCGGGTTTCTCTTATATCTCTTATATCCGGGTTTCTCTTATATCCAGATTTGGTCTATTTTGTTTAGGTAAGTATGTGAACACTTTGGGACCAGAGAAAATCTCTTATATCCGGGTTTCTCTTATATCCAGATTTGGTCTATTTTGTTTACGTAAGTATGTGAACACTTTGGGACCAGAGAAAATCTCTCTTATATCCGGGTTTCTCTTATATCCAGATTTGGTCTATTTTGTTTACGTAAGTATGTGAACACTTTGGGACCAGAGAAAATCTCTCTTATATCCGGGTTTCTCTTATATCCAGATTTGGTCTATTTTGTTTAGGTAAGTATGTGAACACTTTGGGACCAGAGAAAATCTCTCTTATATCCGGGTTTCTCTTATATCCAGATTTGGTCTATTTTGTTTACGTAAGTATGTGAACACTTTGGGACCAGAGAAAAATCTCTCTTATATCCGGGTTTCTCTTATATCCAGATTTGGTCTATTTTGTTTATTTTGTTAGTATGTGAACACTTTGGGACCAGAGAAAATCTCTCTTATATCCGGGTTTCTCTTATATCCAGTTTCTCTTATTTGGTCTATTTTGTTTTTTGTAAGTATGTGAACACTTTGGGACCAGAATCTCTCTTAAAATCCGGGTTTCTCTTATATCCGGGTTTCTTATATCGGGTTTTATATCCAGATTTGGTCTATTTTGTTTACGTAAGTATGTGAACACTTTGGGACCAGAGAAAATCTCTCTTATATCCGGGTTTCTCTTATATCCAGATTTGGTCTATTTTGTTTACGTAAGTATGTGAACACTTTGGGACCAGAGAAAATCTCTCTTATATCCGGGTTTCTCTTATATCCAGATTTGGTCTATTTTGTTTACGTAAGTATGTGAACACTTTGGGACCAGAGAAAATCTCTCTTATATCCGGGTTTCTCTTATATCCAGATTTGGTCTATTTTGTTTACGTAAGTATGTGAACACTTTGGGACCAGAGAAAATCTCTCTTATATCCGGGTTTCTCTTATATCCAGATTTGGTCTATTTTGTTTTCGTCTTATATGAACACTTTGGGACCATAGAAAATTTCTCTTATATCCGGGTTTCTCTTATATCCAGATTTGGTCTATTTTGTTTACGTAAGTATGTGAACACTTTGGGACCAGAGAAAATCTCTCTTATATCCGGGTTTCTCTTATATCCAGATTTGGTCTATTTTGTTTATCCGGTTTCTCTTATATCCAGAATTTTGTTTATGTGAACACTTTGGGACCAGAGAAAATCTCTCTTATATCCGGGTTTCTCTTATATCCAGATTTGGTCTATTTTGTTTACGTAAGTATGTGAACACTTTGGGACCAGAGAAAATCTCTCTTATATCCGGGTTTCTCTTATATCCAGATTTGGTCTATTTTGTTTAGGTAAGTATGTGAACACTTTGGGACCAGAGAAAATCTCTCTTATATCCGGGTTTCTCTTATATCCGGGTTTCTCTTATATCCGGGTTACACTGTATCAGTTTTATTGCAATTTTCTACTTCTTATTTATGTGAATTAGGCTTCCCCACCCTAAATAACATGAAAAATATGAAACAAGAATACACTCAGTATCTGTTTATCTAGCTTCTGGAGAGAGAAGGGAGATCACCGTCCTCTGTGGGATCAGGTTGAGATCATAGACAAAGAACACCATTCATAAACTTAAGGAATCAGCACATATGCTAAGCCACAAAAATCTCGTGAGCTGACCAAGCATAGAAATGAATACAATATGGGAACCAGTAATAAAGAGTGCCAGAGAAAAGCGATAATAACAAAAAAATATTGCAATATGAGCTCTGGTAAAAACATGAAATGATAACAGCAAAAATTTCTATATGAGCACTGGTAAAAAATGGTTACTGAAGACATTAGGTTTATAATACCCAGAAATTCATACACAGATGTCCTCAAGGACACATGGTACAGTGGATAAAGGCGTTAGCTCGATCCAGTAAGTTCAATTCAATACCCAGTTAAGGCAGTGGAGAACTTTCAGAGGGAAATTAACAGTAAATAAATGACATTCATTAAACATAGCATGTGGGACTAGAACAGTCCAGTGAGCGAAATAAAGGGTTCAGTTCGACATTCCAACCACCTGAAGAAGGCCGGAGCGTGCAATGGCTGAAACATTGTAATAAATATGGTGACAAAGATGAGGACAATAGTCTGAATAACGTAAATAATGTAATAATATGCTCAAGTGAAGAAAAAATAAGGTTCTGCTTATCGCACATTTGACAAAACATTGGAGAAATTACGAAAAAACACCAGGCATAAGTTTCCTACTAAATAAACGTGTGTTTGGATTTTTTTAAAAAAATCTAAAGTTTTATTTCATAACATTTAAATAAACTTAAAAAGTTGTGGTAAGTGTGCCGTGATATTTTGTTTGGTCCTAAGTGTGCCATTGCTTAAAAAGGTTGAGAGTCATTGCTTTAGGGTAACTATGTGCTTATTGCCGTTCCTTCACTTGAGTACCACCTTTGTCTGTAATCTCTTTAATGATACAAGTTGAAATAGCAAGATGTAACCATAAGTTGTATGCTAACAGTTTCTTCTATTGCACTTCTCACTCGTGGAACTTGCTTCTTGCTTTTGAATCAACATTGATCTTCAAAAATTTAAATGCAATATCAATCATTATCTTGTCTTAATTCTTGTTCTTTTATTATCATTTCTCCTTAATAGTATTTTTTTTTCTCATATTCTCTAACTCTCAGTAATCCCTTGCATCTTTATTGCCTTGCTTGGGGTGTAATGATTAAAAATAAAAACAAGCAGAGGAGGTAGATTTAAGTTTATTATGTGTTAGGGGCTTGTAGCAACCCCATTATTTAAAAATAAAATGCTTCCTTTCATTTACTGTTAGAGTAACACTAATAGACAAATGAGTAAAAGAAAACGGCATTTATATATTACATTCAGAAGACATGTTTTCTCAGAAGGATCATGGGTGCATGTTATAGAGGGTTTGTTAGTATAAGGGGGCAGGGTTGTGTACTCACAGCCCCCTACCCAGCAGCATCAGAGGGTAGACGGGTGCTCGTTGACCAGCTGTACACTGTACGGATTATCCAGTATATTAGAGAAACACACAGACGGACATCAGAAATAAATTAGCCAGCCGAAGCGGAGAGACCGGTGAATAAACAAACACTCAGATCAGCAAACTTTGTCCTGCCTTCTGTGTAGTCTTGGCTTGGCTACACAAACAACAGGTACGACAACGAGGAAAAAGAAGCCTTCTCTACCCCACCCTTGACAGAAGAGAGATGGTGTGAGGCGTGATATGAGAAAAGTGAGGGGGAATTAACGATAGGGATGGGAGAAGAGAAAAGGGAAGTAAGTGAAAAGTGGAGGGAAGAAACAAAAAAGCAGTTCATAAATGAAAAGAGAGGAAAAAAGTTAAAGAGTATAAGGAGAGAAAACAAAATGGATGTTCAGAGAGAGTGAAAGGAGGAGGGAGCAGATATAGAGAAGTGGAGGAGTCTGGAGATGTCAAAGAGAAATAGGTGGGAGGAGAGATATGGATGTAGGAGGAGGATTAATGATAGGGGTAGGAGGAGAGAAAAAAAGGAATAAACAGAAAACAGGCGGAAAAACAAGGAGGCAGAGGATAAGATAAAGCATATAATGAGAGAGAGAGAGAGAACTGGAAATGTAAGTAAAGTGAGAGTGAAAAGAGGAGGGAGCCAATATTGGGATGAGGAGAAGTTAAAGTAGTATAGTGGTGGGAAGAAAAATAAAAGTAAGAGAATGTGGGGTGGTGAATGAGAGAGTGGAAAAATAAAGATAAGACGTTGGGTAGATGAGAAAATATGAAGAAGATAAAAATAGTTGTAAGGAAAATGTGATTAGGAAAGAGAAAAATAAAAAGAAGATACAAAAAAAACATTATGGTGGTAGGAGAGAAAAAGAACTGATTTCTTGATTCATTTTTTATGGCTTACCAACCCCTCTGTAGGTTATTTAAACCTACAAAATACTTTTAGATTGTAAGAATTTTTTAGAGTCAATAATGATTTAATGATACAAGTCCTATTACTTAACCTATAGCTGGTGGGAGAAGAGGTGGAATCATACCTTTTCCATATTTGTGTATAATTAAATATAACAAACACAACTGGAATTGTAAGCTGACTGTGTTTGTTTAGTGGCATATAAACACCTCCATGGGTTATTTAATGCTGAAATCTAAATATTTTGCACATAAGTTTATTTTATTTTACTTTTATTTTTTGGCAGTAATTCTGGTTTTAGTTAGGAAAGAAGAGGTGAATTCATACCTTTTCAAGGGTATTTGTATGTAAATGAATAAAGCCATTTTTTATGGCTTATCAACACTCTGTAGGTTATTTAAACCCACAAAATATTTTTAGATTGTAAGAATTTTTTGGAGTCAATAATAATGTAATGATACATTCCAATTAATTAACCCATAGCTGGGGGAGAAGAGATGGAATCATACCTTTTCAAGGGTATTTGTACGTAAATGAATATAACAAACCCAACTGGAATTGGAACTCAGCTTTCTGATTAACAATTCATTATCCATTACATCTCCCACACATCTGACTTTACATCACCCGTTATTTCTAAGTGGTCACCCATCTAGGTATTGAACAGGCTCGATGTTGCTTAACTCTAGTGATTGTACACAACCCAGTATTTCAATGTCAGGTGGCAGTAAGCTCAACTAGAACTGGAACTCTGCTCTCAGATTTCCAATGTTAAGCTTTTATCCATTACTCTATGTGTACATCTAAGCATACAGCACCTGGTATTCCCAAGTGGTAATCCATCTAGTTACTGACCAGGCTTGATGTTGCTTAACCTCGATGATCATATGAGAATCAGTGTTTCAAAGAGATATGTCTGTAAGCCGAGAGAAGGAATGATAAAACAAGTGGAAAGAAAGAATAAGACAAAAAGTGAGGGAGAGAGAAAACAAAAGACTTGAAATGAGAGAATAGTTATAAGTGGGAGGAGAGTCACAAGTGAAGAGGGAAGAGTTGTTTGGTTGCTTGATTTTGTTTACCAGTATGTCAACACCTCTATGGGTTATTTAATGCCAAAATCTAAATATATTAGCCTCAACTAAGTATATTTTAGACACAACTGTATGTCATCAATTACAAATAAAATGTATTGGTAAATTTACTATAACATGTATTATTTGTCATTTTGCTTTAAAAAAGTATTGTTAATTTTACTATAAATAAGTATTGCTGGTAATTTTACTATAAATATGTATTTTTGGTTGGTTGATTTTGTTTAGCAGCATATCAACACCTCTATGGGTTATCTAAATATTTTATGGCTTCAATTACAGATAAAATGTATTGTTGGTAATTATGAAGTGGAAAAACTATATTGAATCCATTGCTAAGTCAGCTGCTAAGAAAGTTGGTTGACAATTTTTATCTCCAGAATCTATCATATATATCTATGTCTACTGTTTGCTCATGCTTAGAATATTGCTACCATGTGTGGTCTGATGCTCCTGCTATTTACCTTGAGCTCCTTGATAAAATTCAAAGAAGAATCAGCTATATTATCAGTCCTTAACTGGTAGCTCAGCTTTAGTCACTTACCCACCAGTGTAAGGTTGCCTTCCTCTGTCTTTTCTATAAATACTTTCATGATAATTGTTCGGATCAGCTCTTCACTATGGTACCTAGACTTCATGAATTTAAGTGCAGTACTAGACTGGCATCAAGATCTCATCAATTGACAGTTGCGCTGGATAGATGTAACCACAAATTCTATGCTAACAGTTTCTTTTCTCAAACTTCTCGGTTGTGGAACTCCCTTCCAGCTCCATTGTTTGCAACCAACTTTAATCTCCAAAAATTTAAATGCAATCTCAATCACTATCTACTGTCCTCCTGATTACTCTTTTCTTTTTCCACTCAATATTAATGTTTCTGATCTTAACTCTCTCACACCCAGTAACCCCTTGTGTCTTAGTGGCTTTACTGTTTTGCTTGTAGAACTTCCTTCTGGCTCCATGCTTTCAAGCCAACTTTAATCTTCAAATACTTAAATGTAATTCCAATCGTTATCTACTTTCCTCCTGATTACTCTTTTCTCTTTTGGCTCATTATTAATGTTTCTGTTCCTAATTTTTGCACACTCTGTAACCTTTTAACTGTAAACATTCAAATGCAGTGTCAATGCTTTGCTTGTAGAACTTTCTTCTGTTAACATGCTTTCAAGCCAACTTTAATCTGCAAAAATTGAAATGCAATGTCAATCACTATCTACTGTCCTCCTGATTACTCTTTCCTCTTCCTGCTCATTATTAATGTTTCTCTTCCTAATTCTTCCACACTCAGTAACCCATTGTGTCTTAGTGGCTTTACTGCCTTGCTTGTAGAAATCCTGTCCGGCTCCATGCTTTCAAGCCAACTTTAATCTCCAAAAATTTAAATGCAATGTCAATCGCTATCTACTGTCCTCCTGATTACTCTTTCCTCTTCCTGCTCATTATTAATGTTTCTCTTCCTAATTCTTCCACACTCAGTAACCCATTGTGTCTTAGTGGCTTTACTGCCTTGCTTGTAGAACTTCCTTCTGGCTACATGCTTTCCAACCAACTTTAATCTCCAAAAATTTAAATGCAATACCAATCGCTATCTACTGTCCTCCTGATTACTCTTTCCTCTTCCTGCTCATTATTAATGTTTCTCTTCCTAATTCTTCCACACTCAGTAACCCCTTGTGTCTTAGTAGCTTTACTGCTTTGCTTGTAAAACTTCCTTCTGGCTACATGCTTTCCAACCAACTTTAATCTCCAAAAATTTAAATGCAATGTCAATCACTATCTACTGTCCTCCTGATTACTCTTTCCTCTTCCTGCTCATTATTAATGCTTCTGTTCATAATTTTTCCACACTAAATGCAATTAAAAAAGAATTGGTTTATTTGAGCAATACAAGTTCAAATTAGATACTCATGTCTTTGATAGTAAGTCTGATCAGTTTGATCAGGTCAAAATGGCAGCCAATGTCCAAAACAACCTCAAGTCTGTTGTTAACTAGGAAAAAAGAGGGCTTGTTAATCTTAACGCCTTCACAACTAAACTTCTCTCCATTAATCATCTGAATGAGGCCCTTTCCGCCTTCCATCTACATGGCTGATGCTAACCTCCAGGAAAGTAACTTGTTCCACCTTCTCAGGTTAATTTTCTCAGCTGGACATGAAGTGGAAAGACTATATTAAATCTATTGCTAGGTCTGCTGCTAAGAATGTCGGTTCACTGTCATTTATAAGTATGAAATCTTTTTTAAAAATGGATCGACACATAAGGCACAAATCTGTGCAAACATTTATGGCAATAATCATCTGAGAGACTTCTTTCTGCCTTCCATTAGTATGGCTGATGCTAACCTTAAGGACAGTGACTCAATGTGCCTTCTCAGGCTAACATTATCAGCTGACAAAGTGGAAAGATTATATTGAATCCATTCATACTTCAGCTGCTAAGAAAGTCGGATCACTGTATCATGCTAGACAATTTTTATTTAAGTAGGATATTCCTGCCACATATGGTCTGGTCTCTTGTTATATAGCTAGAAATCCTTGATAAAATCCAAAAAGAATCAGCAATATTATTGGTCCTGCTCTTGCATCTCAGCTTCAGTAACTTTCCAACCACTGTGAAGTTCACTCCCTGTGCTTTTATAAATTATGTGTCGTGCTAGACAATTTATCTCTCCAGAATCTATCTATCTATCTTATTATTTTATGTGCCATCTCCCTTCAGGATGTAAGCGATCATGGCTCTCCACTTCCCCTTATCCCTTGAAGCTCTCAATAAGTTTTGTCTCCTTGATACTTCTACCAGACCCTGTTCTGTCATCCATTTGCTTAAGCCCACTAGGTATATCATGCATTGCTTTCCCCTGGTCTCTCTTTCCCTCTATTTAGCCTGTGAGTATCAGATTCCCCAATCCCACCTTTCTCATTACATGTCCCAGAAATTTTAGCGGCCTCTTCCTGATACCAAGTATAACCTTCTTCCTTGTTTGCATCCTCTCCAAAGCCTCATTGTTGCTCATATGCTCGGTCCATGATATCCTTAGCATTATTCTTTAGAACCATACCTCCGTTGCCTTGAGTTTCTTTTTCATCTTTGAGAAGATTGTTCAAACTAACTTACATATCTATAAATCTACCATTTGTCCATGCTTAGGAGATTCCTGCCACATATGGTCTGGTCTGTGGTTATATAGCTATAAATCCTTGATAAAATCCAAAAAAGAATCAGCAATATTATTGGTCCTGCTTTTAAATCTCAGTTTCTGTCACTTTCCAACCACTGTGAAGTTGACTCTCTGTGCTTTCATGGCAACTGTTCAAATTAACTATTTCACTATGA